TCCTGTGAAACTGGAAGCATTCAGACCCACAGCCAGAGAGCAGAAGCCCCACCAGCCCCAGGCAGTGGGAGGCCACCATAAGGATTCGAGATACCTGGAGTTCCTGGGGCAGAGAAAGGAAGGATTCGAAGGCCTTGCACACAGTGCCCACCTCCTCCTGATTGACGCATGCTTCCCAGAGTCCCATGATCCAGGTCTCCATCTCATTCAGGTCCAGATTGAGCGTCTTCCATTGGGGCAGGATGGTGGTGACACATGAACACACCCAGCCAAGAAGAGAGAGGAACAGTCCCCCGAGGTGGACTCTCCCCTGGAAACTCCAGGCCATAACTGCTCCCTCCACCAAGACAGAAGAAGGAGAATGGGTGACTCAAGAGACTGGTTAGCACCGATGACTTCTGGAGGCTGGGATGGGGAAAAAAATCTCACATTTGGAGTGTGTTGCTATATCAGTTTTCTGAGCAGCAGCTGAGGCAGGTGTCAGGAACTTGGCAATATTTGGGGTTAGTAGATTGAATCTGGGTGTGGTTTCTGAAAGAGGGTCCCACAAAAGGCAGATCTGTGTGGTAAGCCATCAATATATATTTAACGAATATAGTCACACAGTTAAAATGGCTCTTTATCTCTGAGATCACAAAAGAAATGTCCTGGAATACATCTTGATATAATTTTTCTGGAGGACAGTCAGGGTTTATCCTTTTAGACATAGGGGCACTTGGATCCAGTACCTTATCTTCAGGAAAATCTATCTAAATTTCTATGAATGTTTACAAAACTTTATGAAAATAGCCATTGAAATATTATTAGTAATTGTGAACTCTGGTTAATGTTAAATAACCATTTTAAAAGTGATATTGAAGAAGAAATTTTACTTATGAGCATTTTAGTTAAGAAATTTTAGACATGAACAATGTTTTTGAAGGGCAGGTATAGCGGTGCATTCCTGTAATTTCAGAATGAGGGAGGCTGAGGAAAAAGGATCATGAGTTCAAGGCCAGGCTAGGCTAGTATGGCAAGACTCTTAGGGGAAAAAAAAGAAAGAAAAAGAAAAAAATGGTATGTATGTTGTTAAGTGAGAAAAACAGGGGCCCACATAGGAGTTTCATAAGAAGTACATGTGAAGTGTGCATATATCTCACAGAAAGAGTTAGACGTGGTTGTAGCTATGGTAGGATGATAGTTTTTATTTAATTACCTATGCATTGAGTAAATTGTGTAAATTTATCCTTTGTTTCTTTTGTAAACAGAAAGGCCCACCAGTATTAAGTTTTCAAAAACGAATTAAAATTTCCCAACCCAAAGTACTTACCTAGTCCCTGAACATCCATCCCTGCAAGGTAAGTGCTCCCTCATGAGGCTACTGCTGCTAGGATAGCAGCTGTAAACAGGAGGCACTCAAACCAGCATCCGTGCTTCCATTCCTGTCCATTGGTTGCCAAGGGGCAAGATCTGACAGGAAAGGAAACCATTTGTATTTACTGACTGTGGCTGAAAGCCAGAGTTTGGCCTGGATGTTTTATCTGTATTGAATTTTCACACTGCCACTGTGTGATACAGGTTAGGAAACTTGACAAGGTCCTTTTGGCTAGTAGGCCACAAATGCAAACAGCTGAGGCAAGTGGCTTAGTCTTAGACCGTTCATGTTCTTGGTCCCAGTTGTCACAATGATTTCTTCTGCTCTGCCCTTGCACACTGGTGACACAGATGCGGGTAAGGGCTTGTCTTGATGACAAAACCCAGAAGTAACCCTGGGAGCTATTCTATTAAAGACACAAACGTCTGATCAATATGTCTCCTATTTGTATTTTAGGCTCTGGCACACCACGTGGAAATGCAAAATGAAAGCAGAGGTCTGGGCCAGCCAGCAGTAAGGAAGTACTTCCTGAGAAGCAAGGGTCCTGCCTTTATCTGATGGTTGTCTTCGAACAGATAAGCTAGTGACTGGTAAAGGAGGGAGACGGCATTATCTGGAATGCTTTTTAGTCTTGTGTTCTATTTTTTTTTTAAGGAAGTAGATAATGAAATCTCATATTTCAGCACTTGGCTTCAAAAATTATCCATGCATACTAGTTTTGTCTCATCTATAACTGCATCCCTAAAAACTATTTTGAAATACATGAGCTGTTCTTTGCATTTTAGGCTCCTGTGGCAAAAAAAAAAAAAAAAAAATCCATATATCCATTTGCTGGTTTTTGTTTTTCTTTTTAAAGACAAGGTCTTGATATATAATTCATACTGGCTTTGAAGCCACTCTGTAGCCCAGGCTAATCTTGAGCTTGTAATTCTCCTGCTTCCCAAGTACAGGGTCTTACAAACATGTACCATGATGCCTGACCTTCAACTATTTTATTTTTATTTTTGCTGGTTTTGGGGCTTGAACTCAGGGCCTAAGTGCTGTTCCTGAGCTGCTTCTGCTCATGGCTAGTGCTCTACTTCTTTAAGCCACGGTGCCACTTCCAGCCTTTTCTGAGTAGTTTATTGAAGATATGAGTCTCACAGATGTTCCTTGCTGACTGACTTTGAACTGCAGTTTCAGATTTCAGCCTCCTAAGTAGCTAAGATTACATTCATGAGCCATAGGTGCCTGGTTCCCTCAACTTTTATAGGTGTGAAACACGATACAAACTTGGAAATGCTCTCTGCTTTCAGGATCTATGGCCAGAATCATGTCTTTTCATACTTTGCTTCCAGAACACAGTTGTATATCTTTATACACACGTGGCCATATATGTGAGCCATGGTAGGAAAGGAGGAAATTTTTCAGACATTGCTCCTGTATTCTTTTCCCTCTCCTCATGATTTGTGAAAATCTGGAATAAGGAGACATATAAACCAGATAAATGTGAATTAGGAAGAAGGAAAACAAAATCCATTAATTTCCTTTTGTTTCTTCAGGCATTCACTCATTGTTGTATTCAGTATGCACAACAATCTTAATCCACTTTGTGTCTTTGCTTCTCCTTCCTCAACCTGACTCTGACTGTTCCTTGTCTTTCCTTTGGACCCTGAGGACAGTCATCTCTTATCCAGTGGTCATTCTACTTAAGGACAGGAAAGGGCCACTGAAATGTTTGTGGCCATGTCTGGACTGGCTTTCTAGCAGAGGATCTCAGAACCTCACAAAGTAGCATCTTTCCACTGGTTTTTCCAAATGGCACTGTGGCTCAAGTGGTGGAATGTTAGCTTTGAGCAAAAGAAAACTCAAGGACAGTGTCTAGGCCCTAAGGTCAAGCCCCAGGACTGGCAAAAACAAAAGTCCCCTGGTTCTTCCAGAGACTGGGTGCTTACTCTTCAGTATTGTTTTCCTCTCTGCCCCCACCTCAGAGATAATTAAGCTTTGGGGTTTATTGCTTGTACAGGCCCTTTCCAAATCTCAAACCCTATTTTATGTTTGTTGCTTTATTTCCTTAAAAAATCCTTCCCCTATCGCCAACTGCATAATAGTTAGATGTGACTAAATTTGGACCCATCACTTATCCACATTTAAAATGACAAGTATCCTGTTTTCCTGTCACTATTCATATTTCTTTATCTTCACGCTTAGCACATTATAATAATTGCTTGATAAATATGCAATACAGGTTTTCATCAGTTTGTCCTTTTTGTCAGTGGACATTTATTACTAGTGACATTTAGAATTCAGAGTAGAACTACCAGTTCTCCACCACAATGAAGTTGATTTGGTTTTATTCCCAGGATATTATGGCAGCCCTTAAGCATTTCCTTTGCCCTTCCGGGAACACAAAAGTGCTTTGGCTCCATTAGGACAAGTAGATTGTCTCGCAGACATGGAAAATTGGTCAACTTGAGATCAGCTCTCACAAGATATGTTTTGCAAAAAAAAATACAATGTTTTAACTAAAGCAGTACAGGAAAAAGAATGGAACAAAAAGAAAATAAACACAAGTCTGCTACCCTGAGAAATACTTTTACTTACAAAATACTTTTACTTTAAAAAAGGAACAATACTATACAAAGCATATTGTGAACTTCTTCCAGGATGCAGTCCATTTAAATAATGGTACTTAATTTTTAAAGGCTTTGGGTAATATTGATAGAAAGTGCTAAGTATATTGTTCTAATCCACACAGGATTATCACCTAAGTAACTATAAATATGTGGTGTATCACAGCGTTGTAATCTATATGTAACATGTGTAGAGAGATGTGATTAGGTTTTATTTATAATGAAGTGATGCCACTTTGTTCCACAACTCCAGGGGGCAATATTTGCATAGACACAAACCACTGATTCCAGTGAGATTGAATATTTAATACAAAACTTGGAGCTGGGCTATGTGGGTTTTCTGGCTAGGTAATTTCATAGGAAAACTTTTTTTTTTTTGTGGGTCATGGGGCTTGCTCTACCACTTTGAGCCACAGCAGCTCCACTTTCAATTTCTTGGTGATTAATTGCAGCTAAGTCTCAAGAACTTGCTCTACCACTTTGAGCCACAGCTCCACTTCCAGTTTCTTGGTGATTAATTACAGCTAAGTCTCAAGGACTTTCCTGCCTAGGCAGGCTTGGAACTGGATCCTCAGATCCTCAGCTTCCTAAGCATAAGCCACCAGCGCCCGGCTAGGAATACATTTTGAAGGTGAAAGAGCTTCAACGAGGTTAAAAAAATAGCCATAAAACAACAACTTCTTCTTCCTCTTCTTCTCCCTCCTCCTCCTCCTCCTTCTCCTCCTCCTCCTCCTCCTTCTTCATCTTCTTTCTTCTTCTCCTTCTCCTCCTCTCTTCTTCTTCTTCTTTTTTTCTTCTTTCTTCTTCTCCTTCTCCTTCTTTCCTCCTCTTTCCTCCTCCCTCCTCTTTTTTAAGTAAAAAACGAGCGGGAAGGGACAGGTATTTGAATAGACAAGAAGTGTGTCTGAGTTCAGTGCGCAGACTCCGGGACACCGTGGGAACTCCGCGGAGCGCGGGGCCTGCTGGGAGTTGTAGTACGCCCTGGTTTCTCCGCGTGCGCAGTCTGCCAGACTACGTTTCCCGGCAGGCAGCGCTCCGAGGCCGCCGGCGGGACTGGAACTGCCGCGCTGGCCGCTGTAGCGTCTCCCTGTGAGTCCTGGTTCCCGTCACGGCCATGGCTTCCTTCGTGACAGAAGTTTTGGCCCAGTCGGGGAGTCTGGAGAAGGAGGATCTCGGCACTCGGATCAGCCGCTTGACCCGGCGGGTGGAGGAGATCAAGGTGAGGGCGGGGTGCCGGCGGTGGTGTGGGGTGGGACGCCGGGGCGGGTGTAGGGGGCCGGGAGCGGAGTCGCGGGCTGGAGGGCGGGGGGCCCGGGGCAGACTGTGGGGCCCCCCAGAGCGGTTCCGGCCGGGGAGACGGGCGGGGACAGCGGGGAGTGGGAGGCCAGAGAAGGGTGGGTTCAGTAAGGGCCCGCAGCGGGCTGAGGAGACCTGGGTCTGGGGGGCGGGGGGGAGAGCCGGGGAGCCTGGTGGGGGGCGCTGCGGGCCCCCCTGGAGGTGTCTAGAGCGGGATGGAGGACAGGACCGGACCCGCCACCCCCCATCCGGTTCTGTTCCCCTCGGACCCTCTTCCTCCCCCCTTCCCCATTTGTGGGTGAACACATAGAATGGCTCTGGGAAGATGGGGCCATTCACCCCGAAATTTGTCTTTCCTAAACTCGCGGTTATGTTTGTTGAGCTCTGTTGTACGTCCCCAAGCACTTGAGGCCATGTTGGGTTGTAAAACGTCACTGGTATGCTGAGGACTGGCTGGGTCCAGATGTGGCTACCCGAAGGTATTTGCCCACATCTTCCATCGCCGTCAGGAGCAACTTTGGCAGACATCAGAAAGGCACCAGAGACAGCTTTTCCTAATAACTCTAATTATGCAAAAGTCTTCACACCACTGGCATCTCTGTAACCTGGCTTTGGGATTTTTCACCAGCTTCTTCTGATGTTATGAGTAGAGGACAGCCTGTTAAGCTACTTTAGTATGGCATTCAAGGCTCCTGTGTGCTCTGGACCTCACCCATTCACTGCCTTCACTACTTTCCTCTATCATCTTGAATCTTCAGACAAATGAGAATTACTTTCAGTGCTCCAAGCAGGCCAGTTTTTTTTTCCCTTCTAGTTCCCAGGTTTTTACATACATCACCAATTCTTCATTTTCCATCATTTTTCAGTGTATTTCTTCTCATTTCACCTCCTATCTCAATTTGTCTTCTGTATTAAAATGCCATGTTTTCTCTGGATCTTTTTTCTTCTGAATCATCTTGTAAGTCTGTTGGCTATATTACATTTCAGCCTTGTCTTTTGGGTAATTCAATGAGTAGTATCTTTCCTACCAAAAGAGAATTTATTTCTGTGTGAGCATCTTCCAAAAGATGCAATAATTGAGTGCAGAATATGCAGTATTTGTTAAGGGGATATTGAAACTCAGTCATTTTAGAGTTTTAAAAATTGGCCCTATGCTGAGCACTGGTGGCTCGCACCTATAATCCTAGCTGTTCAGGAGGCTGAGATCTGAGGATCATGGTTCAAAGCCAGCCTGGACAGGAAAGCTCATGAGACTCTTACCTCCAATTAATCACCAGAAGACTGGAAGTGGAGCTTTGAGCAGAAGCAGGTCAGGGACAGAATTCAGGTCCGGAATTCAAGCCCTACAACCCACCATAACAACAACAACAAAAGGGCCCTAAATCTGCACCCGTGGCTCACACCTGTAATTCTAGCTACTCACGAGGCTGAGATCTGAGGATTGTGGTTCAAAACCAGCCCTGGCAGGAATATCCATGGGGCTTCTATCTCCACTTAACTACCAAAAAGAAGCTGAAAGTGGAGCTGTGGCTCAAGTGGTAGAGCACTAATCTTGAGCACAAAAGCTCAGGGACAGGGCCTTAGTTCAAACCCCAGGACCAACCTCTCCTCCTCAAAAAAAAAAAAAAGTAAACCTTAAATGGAGAAGCCCAGAGAAAGAGCATATAATTGAAGCATATGGCTTGTAAAAGGCTCTCACAAGAATGTTAACAAAATTGTACTTTTTCTGGAAAATAATTTTATAGGCAAGAAGATAGAAACAAATTGATTAAAGTATATAGATTTTAGACTTGATTTATCCATTATAAGTATATGATTAAAATTGATGGGTAGTGTCTGATAGTAGTTCAGTAGGAAAACTGCGGTCTTTTCATTTTCAGCATTGATATAATTCTTGAGTGCTGTTAGAATTTGGTAACCATTGTCTTATTGTACACTTGCACTGTATAGGACCCTTATGGGAGAATTTTCTTTTTGTGCCGGTACCAGGGTTTGAACTTAGGGCCTCACACTGTGGCTTCTCTTTCTTGCTCAGGGCTAGCACTCTACCGTGAGTCATGTCAAATCTAGCATTTTGCTGGTTTATTGGAAATGGGATATCTGAGACATCTTTGGCCAGACTGGCTTCAAACTATCATCCTTCAGATCTCAGCCTCCTGAGGAGCTAGGATTGCAGGCGTGAGCCATGGGCAACTCACCGGAAATGTTGTTTTGAGACAAAGTTCAGTTTCTATTGGCTTGAAGGAAGGTGAAAGGCTGTAACTATTAAAAAAATTCTAATATGAAAGGTGTTGTACAGAAGATAAGCTGCATATTCTTAATAAAATTCCTCTCATAACTTCTCCTTTTTTTTAAAAAAATAGGGTGATGTGTGCAATATGATCAGCAAGAAGTACAGTGAATTCCTGCCTAGCATGCAGAATGCCCAGGACCTGGTGACCCAGGTGGATAAGCTGTCTACTGACATTGACCTGCTGAAATCCAGGATAGAGATTGAGGTAAGAGAGTCTGTTATATCAGGTCAGCAGAGGGAAAGTATTGTAGTGTTTTGCAGTTCATATTCAGCTTCCTGATTCCAAGACAACTCAATTGAGTACAGCTTTATTAATTCTTGCTTTGTTGTTGTTGTTCGTGGTGGGGCTTGAACTCAGGACCTGGGTGCTGTCCCTAAGCTTTTTTGCCGGTGCTCTACCATTTTGAGTCAAAGCTCCACTTCTTGTTTTCAGGTGGTTAATTGGAACACTGGCTGACTTCAGAGATCCTCAGATCTCAGCCTCCTGAGTAGCTAGGATCACAGGTGTGAGTCACCAGTTATTCTGGTGACTAATAACTATAATTCTTGAATAACTATAATTCTTGAATTTTATTAGCAGTTTATAGATTAAAGAAAATAATCTCAGGACTTCATTGTTTTCCTAAGAAAATAAAGATAGAGGAAGCTTAGAACTAGATCATTTGGCCTTTTGTCACAGTTTGAAATGTTGGGCTGGGAATGTGGCTTAGTGGTAGAGTGTATGCCTAGCATACATGAAGCCCTGGGTTCGATTCCTCAGTACCACATATGCAGAAAAAGCTGGAAGTGGTGCTGTGGCTCAAGTGGTAGAGTGCTAGCCTTGAGCAAAAGGAGCTCAGGGACAGTGCCCAGACCCTAGGCTCAAGCCTCAGGACTGGCACCAAAAAAAAAAGAAAAAAAAAAGCATCTCTTAGAAGTATTATTTTAGATTTGCAGCTAAACTCATCCCATTCAACCTTCAGCACAGTCTCCAAACACAGTCATCTAGACAGTTTTTTGATTTCTCCATTACAACCACTCTGCTTCCTGTTATGAGCTGCTTTCCTTAGTGTACTGAAAATCTTTGCTCTTATATCTTGTCACTTCATGCTGTAGTGTTGGATAAACTTACGGCGAGTCTGGTATGGTTAGGAGTGTGTACCATGTTTTCTAAAGTATTATCATTACAAAAAGAAGTAAGTCAATTTAGAAACAGATAACCTACTTTATTACCCCCCTTCCCCCTCCCTCCCCCCATTCCTGGGGCTTGAAATTAGGTCCCAGGCTCTGTCCCTGAGCCTCTTTGTGCTCAAGGCTAGCGCTCTACCACTTGAGCCACAGAGCTACTCCAGATTTTTCTTTTTTTTCTGTTGGTTGTGGGACTTAAACTCTGGGCCTGGGCGTTGTCCCTCATCTCTTCAGCTCAAGGCTAGTGCTCTACTACTTGAGCCACATTGCCACTTTCGATTTTCTGAGTGGTTTATTGGAGGTAAGAATCTCACAGACTTTTCCTGCCCGGGCTGGCTTTGAACCATGATCCTCAGATCTCAGCCTCCTGAGTAGCTAGGATTACAGGTGTGAGCCACTGGCATCCGGCTTACTTCCAGATTTTTCTGTATATGTGGTACTGAGGAATTGAACCCAGGGCTTCATGCATGCTAGGCAAGCACTCTACCACTGAGCCACATTCCTAGCCCTGGTTTATACCTCTAAAAACATTTGCATATTAAAAACCAGGTGGATTTTGTTTCCCCTTGAAGTTATCTTTTAGGAAAAGTAAATAGTTGGTGGTCAGCATATTGCTGTCAGAGATTTAAAGTTTCATATTAAGTCTCATAACAATTTCTAAATTGTTGCTCAGGGATCTTTGGTGTCCAAAATCATGTGTTGAGAGATTCCAAAGTTCTTTAACTTGTAGAAAAGACATTATTAATTCTATTCCATATATGGTAGATTTATTAAGTAAGAAAAGTGAACAAATGCATTTTTCAAAAGTTTTTGGGTGGCAGGGGGAGGGGGGATGGAAAGGGATGGGAAGGGTAAACAAAGGAGGAGGCAACAGTGCTTGATAAGAAATGTACTCATTATCTTGCCCATGTAATTGTAACCCCTCTGTATGGTATTTTCACAATTAAAAAAAAAAGTCTTTTTTTTTTTTTTGTTGGTCATAGGGGCTTGGACTGTGGGCCTGGGCGCTGTCCCTCAGCTCTTCAGCTCAAGGCTAGTGCCCCACCACTTGAGCCACAGTGCCACTTGTGACTTTTTCTGCTTACGTGGTGCTGAGGAATTGAACCCAGGGCCTCATTCATGCAAGACAAGCCTCAACCACTGACCCACCTTCCAGCCCAAGTTTCATTTTTTAATAAAAATTTAGTCACAAATGAAGAAAACATTGGTTATCTGGAAAATTGACTTTTAGTAGTCTACTCACCAATCATTCTGCTCAGTTCTTTAAAAGTAGATCTGTTACTCTGTAAACCTGGCACAGTTCTAAAAACATTCCTTATGTTTGTACTTAACTGATTATCTAATCAGTAGTACGGTGTTGGACTGTGCTATTAGAAGTAAAGTCTGGAATAAGTTAGTGATGGGCTTTTTGTGCCTTTTGTGCTAGGTTATGGCTTGTGGAGTAATCTAGCCATGGCTCAGTTCTGTTGACTTTTTGTTTGTTTGTTTTAATGACAAGGTCTCACTATATAGCCCAGGCTGGCTCCTGCCTCAGCCTCCGAGGTGCCATCATTGTAATCTGCAGCACCACTTCTCGTTTGGTTGTATTTTAAAAGATGTATCATTGAAGAACAATGAAATAAATCGAGGATGTTAAGTCTCAGGGAGAAGCATTTCAGTATTTGAAGTCCTGTCATAAGGATGAGAGATTTAAATGTATGAAAGCTAGGTGTGGTGGAGCATAATTCCAACACTTGAGAGGTAGATTATGACTTTGAGACCCACTTAGTCTACATAGTGAGACTCTGTCTCAAAAAAAAATTTTTTTTATTGTATAACTTACCAAAGGGGATTAAATTTGGTCGATTTATTCAGTCACTTTGTCTAGCACCTTGTCAGTACAAGATGCCATGATCATTGCTGAGTCAGTTCTTTTATTTCAAAGTGTGAATATCATGCTATATACATGAATAAAAATAGTGTGGCTCAACACTAAATACTAAATCCAGTTAGAGGAGATGTAGTTAAGGATGGCTCCCTGTAGGAAATGCTAACCAAACCAAGACTTGAATGGTAAATGGTTAGGCAACAAGGGAAGGGAGGATGTTTAGGGGTGGGAGTGTAAGGGATAGCATGGCAGAGGCATGGAGTAGTTGAGAGATATCAATTTAGGGTAGCCCCCAAAATATTTCTAATGACTGATGTTTAGGGAATGCAGTGAAAGGGACCTGAGATAAGATTCAGAAGGTCAACAAAGATGTTGTGTTTCTGGTTAATAATATTGATGTTATTATTCTTGATGGCTTTGCCAAAGCCATGAAGGATTTTAAGCTAGAGAATAACATCAGATCTGAGTTTTTGGAATCCTGTTCAGCTTGCATTAAAAGAAAGGACTCGAGGAAACTGAGCCTGGGAAATGGGAAGGTAGTTGAAATGTTAGGAAACAGTTAAGTAATCCAGGAAAAGGTGTGGTAATTTGCTCTAAAATCGTTGACAATGAAGATGCAAAACAATGGATGAATCCTGGTACCATTTAAGAGGAGGCTCTTTGGGACATGTCACTGTGGAAAGTGAAAGACACAGGAGTCAAGGATAACTACAGAACTAGCTTTGACATGCCACTCACTGAAACAGCATTTGATGTTTTGGACTGGATTGTTCTTTGTAGGGGGATCTGTCACTGTACTTTGTAGGATACTGTACTTTGTAGGATACCTGGCTACCTGTTGATGCTTCTAGCTACTCCCTCAATGACAATCAACAATCTCTGGATGAGGGTGGGGCAGAATTTCCCTCAGAGAAAGAAAGTAACCAGGGAAAAAGGAGTCTCAGTATGTGTGGAGTGGTTCCTCCAAAAGTAAATGGGAATAATGGCAGAACTAAGAGGGAAATCAGAGAGTCGAGTCATGGCACTAAGGAAGGTAGAAAAGTTACAGTGTACATTAGTTAAATACTGGCAAAAAATACTTTGGTTTAGCAATGAAAAATTGATTAGGTTTTTCACAGGAACATTTTTGGTGAAATGATGGGACTAGAAACTAGCCACCATGAGGAGGAGTGAATGAAAGAAGTAAAGACAGCGAGTTTAGACCACTGTTTTAAGAAGCTTATTTATGCAGAGAAGTAAGGCAATTGCTGAGAAATAGGCTAGTTACTTAAATGTGGGGAAATTTTTACTATATTTAAATCTGATGAGCGCCTAGTCACTATTTCATTAGTGAGTGAAAGTGAGTGAATTAGGGAGAAGTTAAAGAGGGGAAATGTTTGATGTAAAGGCTCTACAAAGGTGGAACGCAACAGAAATGGAGTCTGTTCAACATCAAAATACCTCAATAGTTAAGGCATTTAAACTGTAGAAAGAGTTAGCATTTGGCAGTGGGGATACCTTTTGAGTAATTCAAGTGGCTGAATTCTCTGGGAGAGAGAACAGCTTTAACAATAGGAAGTGACCTGAGGATATAGTGTTGATGGGGTTTGGTTTTCTCCTACAGAATTTGGCTTTTGCCTAATTGAATCTCCAAGCCTCTCCTTCAAATCACCTTCTGTGATTTTTATTTCAGCCTGAATTAGTATTTAAATTTCAGCAAGAATTATATTGCCCTACTAAATAAGGCTTCTTAATTAGCTCTGATGGTTTTATTTCTGAAGTATGGTATTAACTTAAAAGTACTTCTTTTTGATGTGTAAATTAGGTCCGTCGGGATCTTCACGTATCGACTGCTGAATTTACAGACTTGAAACAACAGTTGGAAAGAGACTCAGTAGTCCTAAGTTTGCTTAAACAGCTACAAGAGGTTAGTAAACTCAATTTAAACTTTCGTGTTTTAGTAGTAAGACAGGTTTTCTTTTTTCCAAATGGTTTATTGTTTAGTTCATAGTCCTTGACCAAATGCTGCTTTTCCCCCCTACCTAAAAAACAGACAGACTAGAAATAATAGGACATAGAAAATAAAAATACTGAATAATACGAACTTATTTTTTCAGTTTTCTACTGGTATTGAAGGCTATAATTGTGCATTAACAGAGAAGAAGTATATTACGGCTGCTCAGCATCTGGAACAGGTAATAAAACATGAGTAAAATTAGTGCTTTTCTTGCTTTTGGGATAGTCTGTGTTCCTTGTGTTCTTAATCATTATTCAAGTGTATTCTGATTGCTGTGAATTCAGATAAAATGTTTAATGTCACTTCCATTCCGTTACCAGGCTCAGAAATGCTTGAAATTATTAAAATCCAGAAAATGCTTTGATTTAAAAATGTTGAAATCTCTCAGCATGGAGCTCACAATACAGAAACAGAACATACTGTACCACCTCGGAGAGGAGTGGCAGAAGCTGATTGTGTGGAAGTTCCCACCATCAAAAGGTGCTGCTGGCCTCAGGTGGACTGCTTTGCTTAATCTGCCTGAATGCTTCTGGCCTGTGACTATTCTAAATAGTTTGTATTGCAAGATGAGAAAGGAGAAGGTTTTACTCAATACTTTTCCAAGTCTGTGTTGAGTTCTCATGTTAAACAAAATGTTAGGACCATTCATCTGACTCCCTAAGGTGCTCTTTCTCTCTTTCTTTCCTCCCATTTCCCCCTTCCCCCACTCCCCTTTTGTTTCACCCGTCAGTTCTGGGGCTTGAACTCAGGACATGTATGCTGTCCCTAAACTCTTTTGCTCAAGGCTAACACTCTACCACTTTGAGCCACAGTGCCACTTCTGGTTTTTTGAGTGGTTAATTGGGGATTAGTGTCTCACCGGGGCTTTTCTGGCTTTCAATTGAGATCCTCAGATCTCAGCCTCCTGAATAGCTAGGATTATAGGTGTGAGCCACCGGTGACCGGTTCCATGTGCCCCTCTTTCTGTCTCTTTCCCTAAGAAATCCAGGAAGGACCTCTGGGGGTTGATATGGTGAGGTGTGGTAGAGGAGGTGGTAACAGTTTGTAACAGTGGAAATTTACTAACAGCCCTAATTCCATAGCTTAAAGAAACTGTTCAGCCATTCTTTCTGTTGAGAAAGGAGGCAGTATGTTTTTCATTGAAGAGAGGTTTGGCTTTTTTTTTTTTTTTTTAAGTCTTTAGGGAAAATTAGTGATGAAAATAGGAGATGGATTGCTTTACAAGATGAAGAAATATTACTGTGGCTCTGGCTTTTATTTGTGCTACTTGTCCTCTCACTACCTTTGCCGTGATGTTTGTTCTGAGAATAAACCTCAGGACTTGCTGTTGTGTCCAGAATGCTTTCTAGCACTGTTGTTTAACTTCAGTGTATTTCAGAGAAAACCTCACAGTCTCCCTCTGTGCTCTATTTCCTATATTGAGTTTACCCCCACATGTATGTATGTATGTATGTATGTATGTATATCTTATTTTGAAGGAAGTAATGTTGAAAAATTTTAGATATTCTCAAGTAGACTATAAATTACTAGAAGCTGGCAGCAATGTTGAACTCTTCATTATAACACACCCTGTCTGTTAAACTTGTTTGACAAGGCTGTTCTCAATGGAAAGGTCTGTGAAACTGGGAGCTCATATTTTAGTCCTTACTTTCATTTAGTCATTCAATACATGTTTAGTACATATTACTTTTAGGAGCATCATTTTTCTTTTGCACTTAATTTATTCTTTGGCTCTACCAAAGAAAGTAAATGACGTGTATCATAATTAATAGTTGGTTTCATTAGAAGTATGCTGTAATGAAATGGCACATCTAGGAACCTCAGTAGAAAGCAATGAGAAGTAGGGATGGGAACGTCTTATGTTGCTGAGGGAGCTGATGCTTTTCCCCTTTTCTTAGATGCCAGCAGCTTAGAATCTTACCTGCAAACGGAACTTCATTTATCCACTGAACAACCCAATGAAGACAAGAAGGACCCTCGGCCCCCCATCAGTTCTGTCCTCCTGGCATTTTCTATTCTTGGAGAACTACCCATCAAGCTCAAATCATTTGGTAAAGCCTTCAGCTTTGCATCATTCACATGAAATCTCAGACAGCTGAGAGTTAAGTTATGACAGAAAAGATTATGAACTATTTTCTGGAGAGTATTAGTGATGAGTATTGACTCATCAAAGGGAATTATTTTAAGTGTCCTTTTTATTTTGGGCTTGGATCTATTTATTTTAAATTAAGTAGTCTGGAAACAGCATTGGGAAAAGTTGTAGTGTGTGATATGATATACGTTTTGGGGTTACAAGGCTCAGGTGCATGGATTGGGGGCAGGCTGACTCGTTGGAAGTTCCTTGCAGTGGATTTTGATGAGTGCTCATATGGATTTTCAGGTCAGATGCTGCTGAAGCATATCCTCAGGCCTCTGGCCTCTTGCCCGTCCATTTATGCGGTGATAGAAAGCCAGCCTAATACAGTTACTATTCGCTTTGACTCTCTGGTGACTGACTTTGAACATCCATCGCCATCTGAAGTTTTTACAAAGATACGACTGGTACTGGAAGTGCTCCAGAAACAGCTTCTTGGTGTGTATTCTCAAAGAAGTGCATTTATCAAAAGTATATGTTGTTTTTCAAAAGCAAATATGAAAGTCGAAATGCTCATAATGTGAATGAAGGGGTATCAGAAGTAAGTTAGGCCACAGGAGCAGAGTAACTGCTTTCTTATTCCTTGCCTACTTTGCATTTCTTTTCTGTCTTGTATTGAAAATCTAGTCATTAGTGATATCACACATTCTATTTGTAATGTTATTTTATGTACTTCTCCGTCATATCTAGTAACAATGCATTTTGGGACTCTTGGATTAGTTATAGAAGGAAAAATGAATCAGGTGCTGCTTTACATATATTAAAATACTTCACTGGGATTTCCACCCCACCCCTGCTTTTTTTTTTTTTTTTTTTTTGCAGGGGGAGGTGGTTTAGTCATGGGGCTTGAATTCAGCATCTTTGTGTTGTCTCAGAGCTTGTACACTAAAGACTAGTGCTCTCCCACTTTGAGCCACAGTGCCACTTTGGATTTTCAGGTGGTTAATTGGAGATAAGAGTCTCATGGGGACTTTCCTGTCCAGGCTGGCTTTAAACCACAAACCTCAGATCTCAGCTTCCTGAGTAGCTAGGATTACAGGTGTGCGCTACTGGCACCTGGCTTCCACCCCCACTTTTTTGTGGGGGGGAGGAGTTCAGTTGCGGGGGCTGACCTCTGGGCCTGGACACTGTCCCGTAGCTCTTCAGCTCAAGGCTAGCACTCTACCACTTGAGCCATAGCGCCACTTCCGACTTTTTCTGCTTATATGGTGCTAAGGAGTCAAACCCAGGGCCTCATGCATGCAAGGCAAGCACTCTACCACTGAGCCACCTTCCCAGCCTGACCCCCACGTTTTTGAGATAGGTTCTCATTTACATAATTCAGGCTGGCCCTGATCATGATTCACCTGCTTCAGCTTTCTTAGAGTTCTGGGTTTACGGGTATTTGGCAGCAAGACTGACCAAACTAGGTTGAACATGAGAAATAAATTACATTTCAACTCAGCCTATTGGTTAGATCTTTATATTTTCCTAGTGGAAACAACCAGTTTATTCAAATTTATGTTTTAATTACTAAAATTTATTACAATAGCTGCATTTCAAGTGCTTAGCAGCAAAATGGCTGCTGGTTTCTATCCTGGACTTCAGACACCAGGTATTTGAGACATTATGGCCACCTTCTTTAAATCTAGATTTAAAATAGTGGGTCTATTTTCTTATTACTTTTATTTCTGCATTGACTATTGTTTATTTATTTTTTTGTTGGTCGTGGGGGCTGAACTCTGGGCCTGGGTGCTGTCCTTCAGCTCTTCAGCTCAAGGCTAGTACCTACCACTTGAGCCACAGTGCCACTTCCAGCTTTTTTCTGCTTATGTGGTGCTGAGCAATCGAACCCAGATCCTCATGCATGTGAGGCAAGCACTGTACCACTGAGCCAACGTCCCAGCCCAACTACTGTTTTTTAATTATTATTTAATTGCTTAATAGAGTATTCTAAACGTAATGTAAAAAAGCCATGAGATATACAGAGGTAACTTGTAAATGTTTGATAGAGTAGGTATTTTACATATTGTAAAGCATTTGCTGGTGTTTTAAATGTTCAGATAGCATGCAGTTATGTATGTTTTTCTATGTTTTCTCTCATTTTAAAATTTAAGAATTCCAGAGAAGTAAAGAACCAAAGAATATGTTGGAACTGCGATTAAACTTCTTGTTTAAAACTTCATCTTTTGAATTCAGATTTGCCTCTTGACCCTGACTTAGAAAATGGAAAGACGCCTCCGATGGTATTGGCGGAGATGCTTGGTGATGTGATCTGGGAAGACTTGTCTGAGTGCCTCATCAAAAACTGTTTAGTTTATTCTATTCCAACCAATAGCAGCAAGCTACAGCAATACGAGGAGGTAAGGGGCAGAGCTAGCCCACGTCTTAGAACACTTGATTCCTATTGCTATTTGGTTGTTCCTTATACATCTTTTGTTCTTAGGTTTTGTCTTTATGAAAATTGTTAATAAGGAATAGAAACAAATTCTTTATAGCTGCATTCTTTATGGCTTCCTATGTCTTTGATTGGGGAAGTATGTTTATGTTTATATTATTCTTGTATCAGCTATTGAAGTTATTGTATCACATATTTACTTTAGAAGATCTTTATACCTTTAGTAGAGTCAGAAAATTCCATTGAGGCCTGGGAAGGTGGCTCAGTGGTAGAGAGCTTGCCTTGCAAGCCTGAGGCCCTGGGTTCGATTCCTCAGTACCATATAAGCAAAAAGAAAAAAGCCGGAAGTGGCGCTGTGGCTCAAGTGGTAGAGTGCTAGCCTTGAGCTGAAGAGCTGAGGGACAGTGCCCAGGCCCAGAGTTCAGGCCCCACAACCGGACCCAAAAAAAAAAAAGAAAGAAAATTCCATTGAAAATATTCTTGCTAATGAATTTAAGGCTTGAAAACTATAGTATTGTAAAACCTAGTAATTGATTTATTCTAAGACCAATGTGACTATTTTGGCCCTTATTTATAATACATTAACTTTGAAATGTTAACATCAAAGTATGTGTATTGATCTTTCATGTCTAGATTCCAAATTTAACCAACTGGAGACTGAAAATATTTGGAATAAATATGTATCTATTAAATATGTAAAGGTTTTTTTTCTTGTCATTCTCCTTAAATGGTAATAGATAACAACTATTTACATAGCATTTATATGTAGTATTTTGAGTAATCTAGTGATGATTAACATTATATAGGAGAGTGTACATAGATTTATAAACAGTACTGCATTTTTTAAAAATATATGGGATTTGTGCATTCATTGATTGTATCTGACAAGTGTCATGGAATCAATCTCTGGTGTACTGAGGGATAACCATCTCATAATATATATATTTTTTGTTCTTCTCTCTCAGATTATACAATCCACTGAAGAATTTGAAAATGCCTTAAAGGAGATGAGGTTTTTAAAAGGAGATACTACCGATTTGTTGAAATATGCTCGTAATATCAACTCTCATTTTGCTAATAAGAAGTGCCAGGATGTGATTGTGACAGCCAGAAACCTAATGACCTCTGAAATCCACAACACTGTGAAGGTGCCAGGGATGTATTATATTGTAGTTTGAGAGCAGGTCATTTTTTAAGATACATATGGAAAAAGATGATTGCTGAACTCCCAGAGCTTGAAAACACTGTGTAAATTAGAACGTGCATAACTAATAGATTACAGTTTTTGATATTTGATAGTAGATTATTCTCATCTTCATTACTTGAAATTTTATGATGTGCATACTTGTGGTTTTTTATGTACAAAGATTATGTCCTACTGTGAAATGTTCATAACTAAACTCCTGGGCTTAATGAGGGTCTAGTTTAGAGATTAAAATAGTAAAGAAAGTAGCCAAAAAGATAGAGTATAAATAATTTGCAAGGGCAATGGAATAATTAATTTACATACTGAGTAATTTACTCCTTTAGATAATTCTGGACATTTAAAAAAAAATCTCACATATATTGAATAATACAGTACTGGTTAAATGCATGTTCCATAAAAAAAAGTAAAGTCTCCCTAATACTTATATAAAATGAAAATTCCAATACCTACTTGGGATTAAATGAAAGAGCACTGCTTCTAATAGTAAATATTCCAACTTTAAATCAGGAGACTTATCTTCCTAGTCCATATATGGTATAATAGTATCTACTTCAAAAGGCTGTTATAAAGTTATGTATAAGAAAAGTGTCAGTGACCCAGGTATTCAGAAACTATGGCTTTGCAGAATGCTGATGAAAAAATACATAATTATAGGGATGACCGAAAGGCCTCTAATAATTGTCTCAAAAGTGAGCTCAGAATGATTTGCTGTTAGAAGTATTAGTCCTGGAATATTTCCCATTTGAGGTCCAGTGTGTGAGAGCAGAGCTGTTGTTTTTGCAGAGGAAGGGGAGCTTACTTTTTCCACCTGCTTGATCTTTCTTCTTTTGTTTTGCCTCTGAGGCATCTATGAGAAATAAATTTTGAAAACATTATTCATGAAAGGTTAAAAATGACTAATATGAGTGAGGTTATAAATTCACTGCTTCCAGACCTTACAGCTTAGTGTTCTTTCATTTAGTCCTAAGTCAGTCTTCAAGTTTTTATTTTATGTAAGTTTAGGGAGACTTCTTATTTTTTTTTTTAAATTTTTGTCAGTTGTGAGACTTGAACTCAGGGTCCGGGTGCTGTCCCCAGTCTTCTTTTGCTCAAGACTAGCACTCTACCACTTTAAGCCACAATCTCATTTTTGGGTTTTTTGATGGTTAATTGTACATCTGAGTCACAGGGGCTTTTCAGTGCAGGCTGGCTTGGAACTGTGATCCTCAGATCTCAGCCTCCTAAGTAGCTAGGATTACAGGCATAAGCAACTGGTGCCTGGCTTCCAGTGTTTTTAAATTTTTTGTTTTTTGGAGGATATACTAGTCTAAATTAGTTTTTTCTTAGACTAACACGTGTCTGGTGTAAAATAAATTGTTAGATAATGGAGTATTGATTTGTAGCAGCCTTAATAATTTAATAGTCTGTTGCTGAAAGATAACTTTTTAAGGCCTTTTCCTCTGCCTGAAATCTTGGTCCAATAGCATAGCTTTGCCTTTCCTCCAAGATGAAGAACATGTATAAGAATGTTACACATATTTTGCTTATTTTTTGTGGCATGCTCTCACTCATGACTGAGCAGTAATTAAAAGCATGCTATATCCGTTCAAGTTTTTTTAGTCACTCTAAAACCATAGCTTCAGCATCACAGAAGTGACAGGTGTCTTACTTTTTGCTGTGTACTTACATTTTAACCATTCTGAAAACAATGCATTTTCTGTTTCTGTTTAAATCTTAGATTACTCCTGATTCTAAGTTAAGTATACCAGACTTACCCAGTCCTGATGAGGATAACAAGCTAAAAGTACAGAAAGTGTCCAAAATTCAGTACCACGAAGTGAACTTAGAGCCCGAGAATACATTGGACCAGCATTCCTTTTCTTTGCCCACATGCCGCATCAGTGAGTCTGTGAAGAAATTAATGGAGCTTGCCTATCAGACTTTGCTAGAGGCAACAACCAGTAGTGATCAATGGTATGGAACTGAGTCATCAAAAAATGGCAGTGACTTGGTGAAATGCAGATCTGACTAGACATTTATTTAGAAAATTAGCTGTAGTTTTTTGAGTTTTTGTATACTATCAGTTAATTTTTTTTTCTAGAAAGTACAACACATATATATATTGGTGTCTTAAGTTGTTTCTTTTTGGTTCTGGTTGTGGGGCCTGAACTCTGGGCTTGGGCGCTGTCCCTCAGCTCTTCAGCTCAAGGCTAGCGCTCTACCACTTGAGATATAGCACCACTTCTGGCTTTTTTTTTTTTTCTGCTTATGTGGTGCTGAGGAATTGAACCTAGGGCCTCATGCATGCAAGGCAAGCGCTCTACCACTGAGCCAACTTCCCAGCCCTTAAAATTATCTTTAGTTATACAAAGGAGTTTCAATTCAACATGTCAGTTTATAAATACAATGCAGATGGCTTTTAATCTACATTGTGTTCAGGGTACCTCAAATTCTGTTGTATATCTCTGATTGAATCTCTCTTTGTTTAATAAGTTCCTTTGCCTGGATTAAATGGAAAAGAAAATGGCAAACCATAGCCACAGCTAATTAATTGTAGAGCAAGCTTGCAAAACTCTTTAGTCCAATCTGTGTTTAGCGGTTTTTTACTTCTTGTAAAAAATTACTTCTTGTAATAATTTCAATTAGAACTTGAGTTAGGAATATTGTCTCTTCAGATCTGCAGTTTTTATCTCCACATGCAGATAGTTTGTTTTATTTTGCTTTAGGAAAACATGTTTACCAAGGTATTTCCAGGCTTTAATTAATCATTATCTTCACTCATCCACCCAGTTTCAGTTATAAGTAGAAATGAAAAAAAAACATACTTATGAAGGAAGTATAATATTTCTATGGCAAAATAAAATGTAGGTGTGACTATTTCTTCATATGACATTTTCATGAAGTACAACAGAGAAGTTAGAGTTGCTGAGTGATATTTCTTTAATTTTGTGAGAAAACAAATACCAAACAACTATTTTTGTGGATTGAATATATTTTTATACTCATTCCCCCTAAAAGAGAATAGCTTTTAATAGGACAAAAACAGAGCTTCCCCATACAAACCCCTTTCCTCATTATTAAACCTCAGGCAGCAACATATTTAGCAAAATAAAATAATTCATGGTAATTAATAGCAACTGTGTCTTGGAGAATAGCAACTAAATATTTGTGGAATCCCTCTGAATTATTCAAGATACATAGGTGAAGCTACTCCTCTATGGAGGTGACAACCCATATATTTGCTCTTTTTTATGTGCATCTTAATACTTAGCTGCATTAAGACCAATTTTAAAGGGCAGAAAATCTTGAGGTTAGAGTCTATCCTAGAAAATGTCGATTCGTCTCTTGCATTGGGGAAGAGGGAGGAAAGGTGAAAGCTGAAAGTCAAACTGATTCTAAAAGAACTGAGTGAGTGCCTTTATTGGTACCTTGCCCTTTGCGAGAGCATCCGCGAGTAGGTGACATTTGCTTGAGGCTTAGCTCCATTTGTAACTGAAAGGATACTCTGGGTATTGGCAGAGCACAAATTGATAAATGGAAAAAGAAGCTTTGGGCTACATACTGCTGTTCTTAGAATTATTAATGTCTCTAGGTTTTTAGGACTGTAGCTTAGTTAGTAAACACTGATGGGGAATACATTTCCATCTAGTTTAAAGGTATTTTCCTGCAGTGACCAATGCAAGTATTCTCTGAAGCTATAGTTTTAATTCTTAATTTCTACTAAAGGTAAACCTAGTTTGACTTTCCCCCCATGTCTTCAGTATATCTTTATGTACTTCTTTTAAATCTTTGTTTTCTCCTCAGTGCTGTCCAACTTTTCTACTCAGTGAGGAATATCTTCCATTTGTTCCATGATGTTGTGCCAACATATCACAAGTAAGTACCACTGTATTTCATTGCTACATAATAATTATATGTCTAAAAAGTTGGTTAAATTAATAGTTTTATATTTTCACCAAAGGTATTTCATTAAAATTCCCAATTGAATGCAACAAACCACTTAAAAATATTGATAAGGACTTGGACATGTACTACTAAATTAACCTGACTATGTTAATCTGTAAATATCATGGGTGACACAGATTTTAAAAACTTAAGAAATTTACCCTGTTTTTAGTGCCTAGGCATTCAAATCACAAAGGTGATCATTCCATATTGCTATCCAGCAAACACTGAATTTCCTTCTTAGCATCTCTATTTGTAGGCATAAAACCACAAGATCATATTGTGTGATTGAGCCATGCTCGGCCTGCTCTTCCAGCATCAGGTTTTTATTTTACACGTCTTGGGTTTTAGAGATTTTTATTTTTTTTCGGGGGGGAGGGGGGGGTCCGGTTGTGGGGCCTGAACTCTGGGCCTGGGTGCTGTCCCTCAGCTCTTCAGCTCAAGGCTAGTGCTCCACCACTTGAGCCACAGCGCCACTTCTGGCTTTTTTCTTTTTGCTTATGTGGTGCTGAGGAATTGAACCCAGGGCCTCAGGCATGCAAGGCAAGCACTCTACCACTGAGCCAACTTCCCAGCCCCTTAGAGATTTCTTTTAATGTTAATCTGAGAAGTTGCTCAACTTTGTTACCCATATTAAATTAAATATTTAAATGATTTTTTAGTAAATATTTTTAGTAATATATCAACAAAACTGTTCCATAGCTGTAGCCTAAGGAAGAAAAAATGCATTTAATATTTGAGTTTTTTTTAAAATATAGGTTACTTGTTATTTTAACTAATTATAAGAAGAGTTTTTTGTGACTGTTTTTTATTTGTATTCTCTGCTATGGTTTACAATTCTTTTCTCACTTTCTATGTAGTTAAGCAAAGGAAAAGAGAAAATGTGTTGGGGTGAGCTGATGCCAATTTGTCCATAAGGATCTTAGGGATTCAGACAGTTGGCTTAGGAGTGCCATAGCTCAGAAATGTTTATCCTGTTGTCATGGAGTTAAGCGTTGCCTCTCTTGTTTCTATGTATGATCTTGGACTTTTGCACTAAACCAATGGTTTACAAACTTTAGTGTGCTTCAGAATCACTTCAAAGCTTTGCTGAAACATAGATTTCTGGACTCAGGTCCAAGATCCAGAAGGTTGAGGGGATGGGTGGACACCACCTGGAGTTTGAACACATTTTAAGGGATGCTGATAATTGCTTGTCATAGGACCACATTGTGAGACCCACTGTCCTCAGATTTTGATTCTCAGCTTTGGAAATATCTTAGACTTACTCAGGAAGCTTTAAAACAGACACACTTGCCAATGCCCTAATTCTAGAGCTTTTGATTCATAGTTGCAGTGTAAGACTCAAGGATCTTTTTTTTTTTCTTTTTTTTTTTTAAAGCTCCACAAATAATTCTGAGGTATAACGTGGCAGCTGTTTCAGATGGTTGGTTTCTGGCCTATATCTTACATCCAGCATTCAGTCAGCCATCAAGAAAGTGTTCATTGAGTGATATTGGTGGATATACAGCAGAAACATAAGACACGATTTCTTCTCAAGCCAGGTAGATGGATGAACATGTAGGGCAGAATTAAAGTAGTGATTTCTTCTCAAGCCAGGTAGATGGATAACATATAGGGCAGAATTAAAGTAGTGATTTTTTTTTTATCCTGGATGAAACTTAATATCTGGAAATATATTTTTTTTTTGGGGGGGGGTCTGGTTGTAGGGCCTGAACTCTGGGCCTGAGCGCTGTCCCTCTACTCTTCAGCTCAAGGCTAGTGCTCTACCTCTTGAGCCCCAGCGCCATTTCTGGCTTTTTTCTTTTTGCTTATGTGGTGCTGAGGAATCGAACCCAGGGCCTCAGGCTTGCAAGGCAAGCACTCTACCACAGAGCCACCTTCCCAGCCCTCATCTGGAAATATTTTAAAAGTAAAAATGCCCTGGTTTCATTCTTAGAATTTGTGATTTAATTTGTTTGAAATGAAGTCTAAATGTCTGAGTATTTTTCAATTTCCCATGTGGCTTTAATCTATAATCTGCTTTTAGAAAGTAAGTTAATTGGCTCATTATATAACAAAAATAGAAATCTGGAGAAAGGAGAAGGAAACTTGTAGTTTCTGTAGTTCGTGGACATATCAGAGTTAAATATCAAGGGCAGTATGCTTAGTTCTGCTAGATTTCCAGTTAGGGTAAATGTTTCCTTGCATATTTCTTTCTTTGTTAATCATTGGAGAAGTTTTGTAGGATGAGATCACATTCAGCCAATATAACTAACTCTGAATGGGAATGGCATCAGTGAGATTACATCTTGTTATGCACACCATTCACAAAGTAGACGTTCAAGTCAAGACAAGATAGCTTCGAGGAGTCGTGACTTTTCATCAACCTTGACTTTTGACTAACAGGTGGTTTCTTTTTCTGCCTTTCTTCTTGGGGTAGGGAAAACCTTCAAAAACTTCCCCAGTTGGCTGCCATTCACCATAACAACTGCATGTATATCGCTCACCACTTGCTGACCCTGGGGCACCAGTTCCGATTACGGCTTGCGCCCATTCTTTGTGATGGTACTGCTACTTTTGTGGATCTCGTACCCGGCTTCAGAAGACTTGGTAATGGATGCCTTGAAATCGAGGAAAGCATATGGATTATGTAGCTTTTTTAGCCTCCTGTCTTTGTAATTTATAAATGAGGAGGTTGGACATTTAGGGTGGTGGTCCTTAGCTATAATGCAAAGTAGGAGGTCATCTACAGATGTTTCTAGTTATTTAACTTCATGAAATGAATGCAGTCTTTGTGGAAGCAAAGGCTTTTGTGACACGATTTCATGGTACATTAGAGTTCCCAACTTCATTGCTGAGAGCATTGAATTTGCCAAATCAGAGTTTGTCAGTAGAGTGACACATAGTAAGATTTGTATTGTGACAATTCTGCTAGCATTGTTAGTAAGTGCTCACTGATGTCTCTGCTTATTCTTTGGCAAATCCCAAGACAGCATCTCCTGCTATGTCTTTAGTTTTACCTAGGATTATTAAAAGTCAAAAAGAAATGAAAGGTGGGGAAATCAATGTGTTTACTCTAATAATAGCCTGAAAAAAGTAGAGAACCTATATGGTTCACTTAGCTTTTCAATTTGTGACTTTTCCCTTTAGTGGTGTAGATAGATGAGAATAGTAAGTAGCTTCTTCTATGTAAGGAATTTTTCTTAGCTGACTTAGACTCTAGGAAAACTATTGAGAACGGTTTGTTTCTTATCCTGAGGGTGGGTTGGAAGCATTGCTAGCTGTATTCAAATTACGTTTCTAGTATCCTCAGGACAGTTGCATGTTGCTGTAGAGTGATTGTTTCCAGATAGGTAGGACAAATACATGGTTTGTGCTTGTCTCTTCTTTTCTACCCCAGTTGGACAGTTTTTAGAATTCTGTGTTTTGTTTTCCCATGTAGGGACAGAGTGCTTTTTGGCCCAGATGCGGGCACAGAAAGGTGAACTTCTGGAAAGATTATCCAGTGCTAGGAGCTTTTCAAACATGGATGACGAAGAGAATTACTCTGCGGCAACTAAAGCAATCCGACAGGTGGGAGGTAGTTACTAACATTAACACTGATACCTGAAGCAGCAAGTTTATTCCCTATTCTGTTGGAAAAATCTGGATATGTTTTACAGAACTTTCTCTTATGCCCTCATCCCCTTACAGACATAAAACAATAACGGCAAGTGTGAGTTGTAACAGTCTCTTTTTTGGGTAACATATCATATTGTTCTTACAGGTACTGCACCAGCTCAAGAGACTTGGAATTGTGTGGCAGGATGTCCTGCCAGTGAATATTTATTGCAAGGCTATGGGGACTTTACTGAATACAGCCATTTCTGAGATCATTGGCAAAATCACTGCCCTCGAGGTAAGGGCCATTAGTAGATGCCTCACCAGACTTGAGATACAGTTTTTTACTTCAGACATGGTAACCTTATTGACAGTGACTTTGAAATCTCATTTTTAATCAACACAGATGGAGAAATTGTTGTTTCAGCTCTTACTCATGCTGTTGTGCTTTCTCAGTTTTGTTCTAATTCTATTTTACTGGAGACCTGCTGATCTGTTTTATACCTAGATAAGGAAATAGTATTATACTCCTTCTCCAGCTAGCGTCTGTAAATTAAATGGAGAAATTGGAAACTGGGCCATGGTCCCGAGACATTTTATGTAGTATAAAGTAATTTGGTTTGCAAGTGAACTAAATAATTTAATTTGGTAAAGTGAGTACAGTCTTGTGTAACACTTTGCCAACACACTGTTACAGTTGAGTTCACTGTGTGTGTGAGATCCCACAGGAAAATCGCCTGGACTGAGCCAGCATGACAAAATCTTTATTTGTAGTAAGGTGTCCTGTTTTGCAGCAAGCTGTACCACATTCTCTTGGAGAAATGGATTCTTTCATGCAGGCAAAGTAAATTATTGACAATCTGGTGAAACATATTCTGTGTCATTTCAGCTTCAGGAGTATTTTCAGAGAGCTGATGGAATCTGATATTTAGTTGGTGTTAGAAAACGTATTGCTGCATCTGACCCACCTGGACAGCTCTCCTCAAAGCTTTGTGCTGTCCCTTACCTACAATAAATTAGCCAACTTCTAATCTGTTGTTTCCTTTATGCAAAACCTAGGACATTTCAACTGAAGATGGTGATAGATTGTATTCCTTATGCAAAACAGTGATGGATGAAGGACCTCAAGTATTTGCACCTCTGTCTGAAGAAAGCAAGAATAAGAAATATCAAGAAGAGGTTCCAGTCTATGTGCCCAAATGGATGTCTTTCAAAGAGTTAATGATGATACTACAAGCTAACTTGCAAGAAATTGGAGATCGGTATGCAAAAACTTTCTGTAAAGACTATCAGTATAATGACAGATGAGCAATAGTGCCATTGGTAGCAGTGCTTTTCTCTGTTGCTTCACACATGCCAGTCTTGCTAGGCAAATAGTTGACCACTGAACTACACATCCCCAACCTCTTCTGAATATTATTCAGGGATGAGTTTTTTGTTGAATAGCAATAGTTAGGGCCTTTTTGTAGTTTACCATAGTGTAGAATTTATTATCACTTTCCCACTTGACAACATAAAGACTTCTTGCTCATATTATTTTGATCTGTAGCATGTGATTTGGGCATGTACAAGTGATTAGGTATAAGTACAACCTCACACCTGGATGAAAGTTAAAATTTTTGCCTTGTGTTTTTTGCTTTTGTCAGTCATGGGGCTTGAACTCAGGTCAGGGCCTGGGCGCTGTCCCTGAGCTTTACTTCTCAGGGCTAGCACTCTACCACTTTGAGCCACAGCTCCACTTCTGGTTTCTGGTGATTAATTGGAGATCAGAGTCTCAAGGACTTTCCTGCCCTGGCTAGCTTCACACTATGATCCTCAGGTCTCAGCCTCCTGAGTAGCTAGAATTATAGGTGTGAGTTACCAGCACCCAGAACTCATTTATTTGTTTTTTAAAATGTTAATACTGGGGCTTGAACTTAAGGCCTAATGCAGGTTCTAGTCAGATGCTCTGCTATTTGTGCCATGCCCCAGTTTTGGTGGTTTTTCTTTGAAATTGTTATGTAGAACCCAACACATTGAGAGTATGATCATAATGACCATGTTCAATGAGGCTTAGTGAGTATACATTTAAGGAAGGACAGTCTTATCTTCCTGTCTAGGACCCTTCATCTGGCTATGCCTGTACTAGGTGCAGCCAGTGCACTTGATATTTAGTGTAGCCAAGATATTGATGGGTAAATCTACAATGAAGAGGAAAAATACTTAGTGTTTTATCTTATTTCTATTTAAAACAAGTACTTGTAGATTATAAGCTTATAATTACATTTACAACAAAGTAAGAAATTAAAAACAATTATATCTTGAGACATAATAGGAAACATAATTCAATCTTTTGTTTTGCAGGTGGGCTGATGGGAAAGGACCCTTGGCAACTGCGTTTTCATCAAGTGAAGTAAAAGCTTTAATTCGTGCCTTGTTCCAGAACACAGAAAGAAGAGCAGCTACCCTTGCAAAGATAAAATAGCTCCATCTTCCTGAGGAAGCCATATTTTGACTATGTGATTCCTCCTTGGGTATACTTAACTCCCTTCAAGACTTCTTGGAATCATTTGGTGAACCAAAATTAATGGAATGTTTGAATTTACTTAAGGACATCTTACCTCCTGGCCTGTATGAGGCTTCCTTGAAGAACTGGGTATTAAGTTGCCAGTTTGATCCCAAGCACTACAAAAAGGAAAGAAGAAAAAAAGAATATTAAGTGAAGCACCTCATTTGGGTGACTTTGTAGCCACCTCCTTTGATACAGATGAAACTATAGGATAGTATATTAATGTCACTTTCAGGGCCCTCTGAGAACTGTATATATTATAATTTTAGGTGTTGGCTTTGGACTAAGGAATCCAAAAGTCAAATTAAAGAATGTATGAGATATTGGGGTGGGGAGGGTATGAGATACCTTATTTAGCCTTGCAGGAATTAGGGAGACCTCTCTCTCTCCTGCCCTCCCCTCCCCTCACTTTACCTCCCTTCCCTTCCTTTCCCTCCCTCTCTCTTGTCTATTTGTTTTAAAGACAAGGTCTTGCTATGTATCCTAGACTGACCTGGAACAGATCCTTCTGCCTCAGTTTCCTGAGTGCTGGGATTACAGATGTGTGTTACCTGTGTCTGGCAACTTCTTGTAATTGTTTGCAGTAAATAATGCTTTTCAGATTTAAGAGTGAGTGTCTTTAATAATGCAGGAACTTTGACCAAAGAAACGGTTTTCTGTGCTTTTCTGTTTATTGAAGTATATCACCCTCACAGAAAACTTAGTGTTGCCTCTCTGTCTCTGTCTCTGTCTCTGTCTCTCTCTCTGTCGTCTCTCTCTCTCTGTCATCTCTCTCTCTCTTTCTCTCTCGTCTCTCTTTTTTTCTCTCTCTCTCAAAGACAGGGTCTTGCTATCGAGCCTAGGAAAGCTTTGAACTTGTAATCCTCTTGATTCAGTCTCTTAAGTGCTAGAATTATAGATGTGTTTCACCATGCCTGGTAATCTCTTTTATTTATACCACTATCTACCACTTTTCAGAATTCCTGGGACTTAAGAGTTCATTTAAATATATATTTTTGCTATTACAATTAAATTTTGTTTTCTTGTTTTTTTTTTTTCTGTTTTCATACTTCATTTTTCTGCACCTTGCCAAATGTCACAGGTTTCATATTGCCAGTGTTCCTTTGGAATATTTGTACCTAGGAATCCTAACACAGGACTCTATCACAGGACCGGACCCTACTGTCTAATGCTTCATTTGATGGACATAGCTAATTTTTTTTTTTTTTTTTTTGTCGGTCATGGGACTTGAACTTTGGGCTTGGGCGCTGTCCCTGAGCTCCTCAGCCCAAAGCAAGTGCTCTACCACTTGAGCCACAGTGCCATTTCCAGTTTTCTGGTGTTTAATTGGAGATGAGTCTAATGGACTTTCTGCTTGGTCTGGCTTTGAACGTGATTCTCAGATCTCAGCCTCCTGTGTACTTAGGATTACAGGCGTGAGCATATAGCTAATCTTTCAGCTTGACTTTTTGTGTTTTTCAGTCTTTAAAGCCTATGTTGTGTTTAAGTGGTCCTGGACCTCTTGGACCCTTGCCTGTATTTTATCTCTTGCTACTGGATTATGGTTTCACTTTGTGAAAGAAGGTAAAGGCTGTGATCATAGTGTGCTTTTGAGGCAGGTGCTTTCCAAAGGGTTTTTCCAGTCCCATGAGCCCACGTCTCGATTCCTCAGCCTCCTAGTCCCTTGCCTTAAAATAGATTTTTTTTTCCGCCCTGCCTTCACCTTTTTGTCCATAGTTCTTTCTGGTCAGCCTTTTTAGTCTTTTCCTATTTAAGGGTCATAGAGGAACTAATGAGAAATACTGGTAAAACTTTTTCTCAGAACTCATCTGGTTAAAGATAATTTGTCCTCTGTCTCCTGCTTAGAACTCCAAGAGAAAAAAAATTGGTCTGAACAGCTGTGGGGTGTGTGTGTGTGTGTGTGTGTGTGTGTGTGTGTGTGTGTGTGTGTGTGTGTGTGTGTGTGTGTGTGTGTGTGTGTGTGTGTGTGTGTGTAGAACAAAGAAGTGAGCCTTCTTAAAAGAGGAAGAAAATATTTGTTTTTTTAACTCAAATTTTTGAAAATTGAATTTTAGTTAGCATTCTTTCTCAGCAATTTTAAGAATAGGATACAAAGGGCAGAACTGAATAAATGCATCACGAGGCTATTACACAGAGCAACAGATTTCTTTAGTTAATGAGCTACTGTTGCTTGACAGGTACAGCAGTTTGGGGGTGGGTTGTCTTATAACCAAAAACTGCTCCCCATTGCTTCCCTCCTCATAGTAGCACAGAAGACCGAATTCTTGGGCTGTGTGGGCTTAGTCCCTGGGGGCTATTTCCCCTGAGTAGTTTGCTAACCATGGCACAGAGAAGCATCATCCTCTTCCCTAGCCATGGCAATTTGGTAGCTGAATTTGGTAGCAGTGTTCAGACTGGCTAGCCATTAGTTGTGTGATAAGATAGTGGGAACTGAATCTGGCATCCCTTAGAGCATCCTTGAGGGTATCTCTTCTGATTGGGAACCTGAGCTGGAATGGGAGTAGACCTTTCTTTTAGAGCATGCTGATTTGGGCAGTTAAGCATGTTGATTATGGGAGTCAAGAACGTTGACTTATTTTGTGGCTGTATGGGCTAAGTAAAGGAAACCTCTTCGCAAAGAGCAACAGAGATTACACAGATCACATTGGGAAGTGAAATTTGTGAACCGTTTCCCAAGGTTGTAATAAAAGGAAAGTTGTTTGAAAGTTAAGTCGGAACACTCCAAATCTGTGAGGTGATTTGATAGTGGCTCTAGTTTCCATGTGGCTGCTAAATTATTGATGGCTAACCCTTGGTCACTTTTGTGAAAGAATTTCGCTGAAGTAGAGATCCTCCAGGTGGCAGTGTTTCTTCAGGCCTGGAAACATCTAAGCCTGGGCCATGGAAATGGAGCCAGAGAACTTGTTGGTTTTATCCTGAACTTTTGGCCTTGGTCAGCCCTGGAAAGGTCAGACTCTGAGCGGCATTTGTACTGTAAGCTTCAGTATGTTGCTGAACAGCACTTGTGAGTAGATCAAACAAGACATGTTTGATTAATAACATTGTTAAAGGAGAGATGGATAATCTGTTCCTAAGCTTGCAGATTCTTGTCCCTGAAGGCCATGAGTCCCAGCTTTTTGTGGGCTCTCATTCTGTTCACCTGATTTCCCAAGGTTTTGTTGTCCTTTTTTTTTTTTTTGGGTTGGTCGTGGGGCCTGAACTCTGGGCCTGGGCGCTGTCCCGCAGCTCTTCAGCTCAAGGCTAGCCCTCTACCACTTGAACCACAGCACCACTTCTGGCTTTTTTCTTTTTGATTATGTGGTGTTGAGGAATCGAACCCAGGGCCTCGAGCATGCAAGGCAAGCGCTCTACCACTGAGCCACCTTCCCACCCCCCAGATTTTTGTCTTTTGGAAGTACTGTGGTATAGACAAACACAGATCATTTTTTTCAGATCATTTTTTAAAAAGAAAGTCCCAGAGAAGCAGTTTGTCTGAGCTGCATACTTAGTTTTGTGCCAGGGGTAGGCGAAGGTGTATATAAGAATGAATTTTAGTGATGGGAGGTTGCTATGGATGCAGAAAGCAAAAGTCTATTGGCATTGCCTTCTATACAGGAAGTCTTGGCATAGTCCTTTTAAGCTGGGCTTTCATGCTTGCCTTTTTCCTAATCATAAAACTTGTATTGAACATCTGTGATAATTTCCTTCTAAAAATAACACGTTTTGCCAAAGCCTAAAATTTCCTTTGAAAAATCATAAAGTTGGAAGTAGTGTTCTGGTTCAAGTGCTGGAGTGCTTGCCTTGAGCTGAATTGCTGAGGGACAGTGCCCAGGCCCAGAGTTCAAGGTCCACGAATGACCAAAAAAATAAAAAAATAAAAAAAAATCAGAAAGTGTCTATTTCATTGTTTGAATGTAGACCTTGCTAGATGGGCGCTCTACTACTTGATATATACCCACAGACCTTTTAAAAATTGTTTTAGGTAGGGTCTCATGTTTTTGCTGGGGAGGAGCTTCCTGAATAGCTGATAGTACCAGTGTAAGTCTACATCTAGCTCAGTTTTGAGAAAAATTATCATATGACTTAGAAATTCTTTATTGGGAGATGTTTAGCTATATCACAAGTTGTACCTAGAAATAGCATTAGATGCCTCCACAGCAAGTTATGAAATCTCCACCTACAGGTTAGAGAAGAAGGGCAGTAATTCTGATTAGCTGTGTTCTTCACACCTCTTTGGAAACCAGATGTATTATTTGTTTAGCAGGAGAATTGATTTCCAACTGTTGAATAAGAGACGTACAGAGGCCCAAAACCCCTCCCCAACTCCCCACAGGCTTAGGACTACATTCTACTTGATAGCCGCTGCATGGGTAGTAAAATTTTGTTTTCAGCATCAAACACAAGAATTCCTTGCCCTCTGGTTATGTAAGCTCTAGCAACAAAGAAATAGTGAACATAAAGTAAGTATGCTTGAAGCTAATCTCAGTGCTGGGGGAAAGCACAGGCTCATGAGCAGTTGGAGCCGTGGTTTTAAATGGATGGTGTGTGCATTGTCTTGGAAAGGTAAGCTGTGTAGATATTTAAGTGGAGACAACTACAACCAACCCTTACAAAGGTCTAATGAGATAGGAAGTGGTTGGTGAGCTTAGAATAGTGGAGAGAGGGAGTGTGTAGGAGGTAAGAAGGATGGAGAAGGAGCAGGAAAAGAGGGCCAAGCAAGACTGAGGACCTTGCAGGCCAGTTAAGGAGTCTAGGTGGCTGTTGTTTTATAATTGAATCACATGCGAGAACATTTAGTCATTGGCCCCCGAGTATCCATTACCCATTTGGCTGGATCCCTTACTTTTATCTGTAGCATACCTCCTTCCCTTGTTCCCCCAACACAGTGGATCACTGACACAAGTGCCAGGCAGCATGTCAAGCTCAGAGCTCATTCCATATATGTGTTTCTTGGGAAGCATTCTCTTGTTATTCCCTCACCTCTGCCCCCAGGATCTGCCTGTGTCTCCCGCCCTTTTCTCTATTCCAGTTCATTTAGGCTCACCTTAGATCTGCTCCATTCCCATTCCTCAAACACTGGGTAATAAGTAACATACATCTCCAAGGCATCTGATGGTTTACTCACCTCTATTTCCCCAGCCATTTACTCCA